AGAAATGAGCAGCTGGGCGTCGGGGGAGTCTGCCAGCTATGGAGGGTGTGTGTGTGAGAAAAACTAAGTGCTTGGCATGCTGAGGAGCCTGGAAGCCAGCGTGGAATTTGGTATTCTAGTAGGCACTGCAGATAGCCATTTGCCCCTTCTGTCTGAGAGGAATGACACCTTTGGTAGAGGGGACCGGCGTCACAAGAGGGATGCAGCCTTTTGTCTAATGGCTAGAATGTGAGGAAACGGAGTGAGTTTCCTTTAGACCTGGCATCCACAATGTGTTTTAACTGTTTCCGCTCCGTGACTGCCCATCAACTCCCCCAAGACCCACCTCTCTCTCTCTCTCTCTCTCTCTCTCGTTATTATTATTGTTAATAACCCCTGAGTCTAACATTGCTGACCGTGTGCAAATTGTTATGATGGAGCCATCTGCTGGGGGAATGGGCACCCTACCAGCGGCCACATTCCAAAGAAAAGTGACCAGCTCTCGCTAGGTCTTGCTATTTGCTGATATGATAGTTTACATAAGTGACTCCAGAAATTCTACCAGGGATCTCCCACAGCTGATAAATACCTTCAGTAATGTAGCAGGATACAAGAGTGACAAAAAAAAAAAAGTAGCCCTCCTATATGCAGATGATAAAAAGGCTGAGAAAGAAATCTGAGAAACATCACCCTTTACAACAGCCACAAACAGCATAAAATATCTTGGGGGTAACTCTAACCAAACAGGTGAAAGACATGTATGACAAGAACTTCAAGTCTTTAAAGAAAGAAAATGAAGAAGACACCAGAAAATGGAAGACTCTCCCATGCTCTTGGGTAGGTAGGATTAACATAGTAAAAATGGCCATCCTACCAAAAGTCATCTACAGATTCAGTGCAGTCCCTATTAAAATCCCAGTACAATTCTTCATAGACCTGGAAAGAAGAATATTCAACTTCATATGGAAAAAGAAAAATCCAGGATAGCCAAAACAACCCTGTGCAATAAAGGATCATCTGGGAGCAACACCATCCAAGACTTCAAGCTCTGCTATAGAGCTATAGTAATGAAAACAGATTGGTATTGGTACAAAAATAGACAGATAGACCAATGGGATCAAACCAAAGACTCTGATATCAACCGACACACTTATGGACACCTAATTTTTGACAAAGAGGCATAAAATACAAAAAGGAAAAAGAAAACATATTCAACAATTGGTGTTCATATAACTGGCTGTCGACATGTAGAAGACTGCAGATAGATCCATATCTGTCGCCATGCACGAAACTCAAGTGCAAATGATCAAAGACTTCAATATAAATCCAGCCACACTGAACCTCATAGAAGAGCAAGAGGGAAATACATGTGAACACATAGGCACAGGAGAGCACTTCCTAAATAGGACACCAGTAGCACAGACACTGAGAGCAACATTTAATAAGTGGGACCTCCTGAAACTGAGAAGCTTCTGTAAAGCAAAGAACACAGTCAACAAGACACAAGGGCTCCCTACAGACTGGGAAAGATCTTCACCAACCCCACATCTGACAGAGGGCTGATCTCCAAAATATACAAAGAACTCAAGAAGCTAGAAATCAAACTACCAAATAATCCCACTAAAAATGGTGTGCAGATCTAAACAGAGACTTCTCAACAGAGCAAGCATGTCAAATGGTGGAGACACACTTAAGGAAATGCTCAGCATCCTTAGTCATCAGGGAAATGCAAATCAAAACAACTCTTTGATAGCATCTTACACAGATCAGAAAGGCTAAGATCAAAAACATGGATGACAGCTTATGCTGGAGAGGATGTGGAGAAAGGGGAACACCCCTCCACTGCTGGTGGGGGTGCCAACTTGTACAGCCCCTCTGGAAATCAGTATGGCAAGGCTCAGAAAATTAGGGATTAACCTACCTCAAGACCCTGCAATACTGTAAGGAGCCGTTACAAGCTAGTGCACATGCGCACTAGGTAACTTTGTAACTTTCCAGCCCTTGGTCTCCGCCCCTCCCTTGACGTCATATGGTCCGATCAGCTGACGTCATATGGTCCGACGAGCTTCAGCCAGTCAGAGAGTAACACTTCTGAGGCGGCGGTTGCCAGCCTATATAAGGGAGGGGTTTTTGGGTGTTCAGAGTCTCCGCTCTGTAAGCTGATGCTCTCCCTCTCAAGACGCATTAAAGCTTTACTGCAGAAGGATCCTGAGGAGTGTGCCGCGTCGTTTTTGCTGGCGAGACGGTTAGCGCGGGACACAATACCACTGTTGGACATAAACCAAAGGAGGCACACTCTCACCACAAGGGCGCTTGCTCAATTGTGTTCATAGTGACATTAGTCATAATAGATAGAACTTGGAAACAACCTAGATGCCCCTCAACTGAAGAATGGATAAAGAAAATGTGGTACATTTACACAATGGAGTGCTATTCAGCGGTAAAAAACAATGACATCTTGAAAGTTGCAGGCAAATGGACAGAACTAGAAAAATGCCATCCTGAGTAAGGTAACCCAGACCCAGAAAGACAAATATAGTATGTAGTTGCTCATAAGTGGATACCAGACATAAAGCAAAAGATACCCAGACTACAATCCACAACGCAAAGAAGCTAGAACCCTCTTCTAGAAACAGAGGGAGGCAGATGCAGAAATCCACAACTCACCATTGGGCTGAGCTCCTGGAGTACAATCGAAATGAGGGAGGAGCCATAATATGAACAAAGGAGTCAAGACCGTGATGGGGAAACCCACAGAATCAGCTGACCCGAGCTAGAGAGAGATCACTGACTCAGGTCTGACAAATGGGGAACCTGCCTAAGACCAAACTAGACTCCCTTAATATAGGTGACAGTGGTGTGACTGGGACAATATATGAGGCCACTGGCAGTGGGTCCCAGATCTGACTCTAATGCACAAACTGACTTAGTGGAGCCCATTCTATATGGAGAGATACCTTGCTCAGCCTAGACACAGGGGTGGAGTGTGGAGAGGTGCCTTGGTGCTGCCTCAACAAGATGATGGGACAGACTTCGTAGACTTCCTAGGGGAGGCCTTACCTTCTCTGAGGAACAGATGTAAGGTGGGAGAAGGAAGCCGGAGGAGAGGAGGGAGGAGAAACTGGGATTGGAATGTAAAAAACAAATTAATAAATTAAAAAATCAAACAATAAAAACAAAGATATAAAGGAAAAAACAAAAAAGGAGCCATCCACTGCCAACAGCTCCTCAGCAAGAGGCGGGGCCTCAGAAGTGCTCTCCCATCCAATCTGGAACGTTGGCTCCCTTGGTCTTGTGCAGGTCTTATGTAAGCGACCACGGCTGCTGCGGATTCGTGTGTACCACAGTGGTCTCACGCCCAGGGCTTCACAGCTCCTCTCCCCGGCCCCCAGCTCAGTTCTTACGGTCTTTGCACCTGCCCTTTGAAGGGATGTGTTTCCCAGCTGCGGGAAGTTGGGATAGGTGACTCGTCTATGGCCGGACACCCACAGTCACTTATTCTCAGCATACTGACCAGTTATGAGCCTCTGTGTTAGCCGCCACCCACTGCAGAAGGAGCCTCTCCAGTCAAAGTTGAGAGCACCAAACTCTTTGGGTAGAAACATGAAGACTAAGAAGGCAGTTTGACAGCATGGCCGTCTAGTGAGTGAGTCAGCACCAGCAGGTCTCCCTCCAGGGTCTATGATCTCTCTGGTCGTGAGCTTTTGACCAGGTTTACAGTACCATACACAGAATCCCTTGGGAGGAGCAGGTCTCAGAACCAATCAGAAAGTGATTGGTTACTCTCATAACCGTCATGCCACTATTGCCCAGAGGGTGTAACTTCCCCGGCAGTTTGTTACTACAAAGTGGAGGCCCCAACCCTGGAGAAGACCATTTGCTCTTTCAGTCGTCTGCATGGTGCCTTCCAGCACTATGAGAGTCAGCCAGCTGGGAGAGTTTCCTGATCAGCTCCAGACTGATGCCTTGATGCCCTGTAACTAAAAGTGTGCAGGTGCCACGGAGTCCAGAAGAGGGCTCTGGATCCCTGCAACTGGAGTTAAAGACCGATGTGAGCCACTTGAAATAGGTGCAGGGAACTGAATTTGGGTCCTCAGGGAGAGCAGCAAGCACTCTTAATCACTGTGTCATCTCTCAGCTAACTTTCCTTTTTAACAAAGAAGACCCAGGAACTGTGGCCGGCTACAAAACAATGTTTGCTTTACTCTGTGTTTTTCTGGTAATTTCTACCTAAGATCCATGTGATCCCTATATCTTTATTTTTGAGCAATATAAAGTATTTTATTATTATTTATTATTATATTATTATTATTATTATTATTATTATTATTATTATTATTATTATTACGTGCAAACATATCCCTGTGAGTGCATGTCTGGAAGTCAGAGAACAATTTTCTTTTCTTTCTTTCTTTCTTTCTTTTTTTTTTTTTTTTTTGGTTTTTTGAGACAGGGTTTTTCTGTGTAGCTTTGGAGGCTGTCCTGGCACTTGCCCTTGAGACCAGGCTGGCTTTGAACTCACAGAGAGCCGCCTGCCTCTGCCTCCGGAGTGCTGGGATTAAAGGCGTGCGCCACCAACACCTGACCCAGAGAACAACTTTCAATCTTCCGTGTGAGGTCAGATGATCAAACTCGATGGTTAGCCTTGGTGGCAAGTGAGCCATCTTGCCAACCTGTAAAATGTTGTTCGTTGTTTATTTGTTTGTTTGTTTGTTTGTTTGAGATAGGGTCTTGCTATGTAACCTGTGCTGGCCTTGACTTCCACGTTTTGTTGATCTGTGCCACCATGCCAGGCTCCTGTGGTAGTCTTAAGAAAGAAAGTAAGCTTCTATAGAGAGAGCAAGCATCCCATCGGTGGAGATGGGACAGGGCGGGCGTTCAGGACCAGGCACATGAAGCCTGGCCAGGGCGACCACAAAAGGACTTTTGAGTCAGTGGGCACTCTGTCCGGAGTTCCTTCTCTACACAACCTCCGGGTGGGATGGGTGGGCCCAGGGACTGGAGGCTCTGTCACTCATCCCGGGGACCCAGATTTCCTCCTGCACCCCCCTCTTCCTACACGGCTTCAGAGCAAAATCAAAATTAATTCCATCTAGACAAGAAAGGGTTGGTGTGACACACTGGAGCGACAGACAAGGCTTCGTAGTTCAGGCTCTGCCAAAGGCAGGTCTGGGCTTGGCTCTTGGTTCCACTGCAGGCCCTCTGTGTTCTCTGAGCCAGTGTCTAGATGGAGGGGGGAGGGAGTTAATAAAAAGAGCCGTCTTTCAGGCCTGGATGATTCTGTCCATACAGAAGCCGGAATAGAAATCTGGATGCATAGAAAGCTTTGGACAAACTGGAACTGTGATTATTATTATCATTATTATAGCAGCAGTAGCAGCATAACTAAGTGTCAGCAATGAAACAGAAGGGGGAAGGAGCGGGGGACAGTCAGCAATGGTGTTTATACACAGAGAAGTGTTGAATGTTACAAGTTGGGGTGCGGATGTTGGGGTGGGGAGAGACTGAGAGACATTGAGAAAGGCAGATGGAAACTGGCCCCTCCTAACTAGGTGATGAAGCTAGGTGATACAAGACAGTTCCAAGTGGGAGGACCCAGGGCCCCTGGGAACACAGAAGCAGTCACACTTGTCAGACAGGGATGAGCTGTGGGGAGGATGCCCGGGTTCCCCACTGGAGCTGTGACCGAGGGTGAGGGCCAGGGGGTGTTCTAGTGCTGTCCCCTCCTCCCTTGCCAGGGCTGCCCTGGCCCCTGGGGAAGGCAGCGGGTGTCAAGCAAGCAGCATGGTGGCTGTGGGCTCTCTTACAGACACACATGGCCCTCCATCCAGGTAAACAGGATGGGTGTCTGGGTCAGCTTCTCCCTCCCTTGGTCTTTCCCGCCTACTCTTCCCCTGGGGGTGGCTGACCCGCCCAGCTCCCCTGTTCCGCGCCCAGGGCCCCTGAGCTCTCAGTGACAACTGCCCAAATCCTTCCTTGCTGGACCACTCACAGAGGGGTCCAACTCCTTCGACACCAGGGTCCCCAGAACCTCAGAACTCAACTGCAGCCCCAGAGTTCCTAATGTCTCCTGGGATGTGGAGATTGCAAGGACAGTCACCTGCAGGCAGAGGCATGCCAGAGGAGAGGTGGGAGCAGGAAATGCCCACTGGACTCAAGGAGGGGCCAAGAAAGGTCACCTGTCTCCTGTCCTCATGTCCCTGAGCTTGATGGCTTACTTGGGATGGGTCCCCTAGCATTGTGGCTTCCCTCTCCTTATACCCTTGGGGGTCTCACCTTTTGGGAGTCCTGTTTCCTAAGTACCCCCACCCTGCCACCTCCAGAGGGCATCGACACCTATCTCCTCAGATGCTCCTGTCCCCACCCTGTGCCCCAAATTCCTGGGGTTAGGCAACTGGAACACCTTTGCATCCTTCTCATTCTATTTTTCCCCTCCCTCCTCGATGTCCGGCTCTCTCTGTTTCAACACAGGCTCTCACTCACAATTAAGCTTCATTACCCTATCGGTGGATAGGCCCTGAGTCACTGGAGGAGGGATCTTGGGCTGCCCAGCCCTGATACCTTCTCCCAACCTACAGTATAAGGGGTAGTGGCGAGAAGGAACACTCTGGAAAACAAGGGAGTCTGGGAACAGAGAGAGAGGGGGCTGTGGGTCCTCAGGAAGGTAGAGTAAGCCAGCAGAGAAAGAAAGGCAGGAGGGTCCCATAGTCCAGAGGAAGAGAGAAGGGAACAGGAAACAGATCGGGCCTCAAAGATCCTCAGGGGAGCCATGAAGCTACGGGGGTCCCTGGCCTGCCTCCTGCTGACCCTATGTCTGGGTAGCGGGGCAGCTAGCCCACTGCAGAACGGAGGAGAGGGCGTAGGAGCAAGTGCCTCACAAGGAATGGGAGACGCCATTAGCCACGGAGTTGGAGAGGCTGTGGGCGAAGGGGCTAAAGAAGCAGCCAGCTCTGGAATCCAGGACGCCCTTGGTCAGGGGCATGGAGGGGAAGGTGGCTATGCACTGAGGGGGGCCCGAGGGGATGCTTTCGACCACAGGCTCGGGGAAGCAGCGCGATCTCTGGGCAACGCTGGCAATGAGGTTGGCAGACAGGCCGAGGATGTCATTCGACGTGGAATAGATGCTGCTCACAACTCCGGGTCTTGGGTGAGTGGTTGGGGAAGCTGGGTGCTGCCAGGGGCTGAGGGTGGCTGGGGCAAGAACCTTGAGAAGTGAGCCGAAGGGTGAGCAGACACTTCCCTGGGAAGTGTTTCATGGATCTCTCTACTGCATAGTCTCTCTCTCCGCTCCGACTGTCAGAACTCGGCACACTGAGGACAGGTGTGTTGTCCTTTCAGGGGACATCTGGAGGCCATGGAATGTTTGGCTCTCAAGGTGGTTTTGGAGGCCATGGCAATCCCGGTGGTCAAGGGACTCCCTGGGCCTCAGAAGGCAACTTTGGCACCAACTCTCTGGGAGGCTCTGTGGGTCAGGGTGGCGATGGCAGTTCATTCAGCTACGAGGCCAACGCGCAGGTAAAGTCACCACCCAGACCCATCCCTCAACCCTGCCCTCCCCACCCCTCCTTACCCTCTGCTTCCTAAACTGGGTTTCACCCTCCCTGCAGGGGGCTGTAGCTCAGCCTGGCTACGGGGCAGTGAGAGGCAACAACCAAAACTCAGGGGTAAGAGAGAAGGGAAGGCTGTCTGGACGGGTGTGACAGAACGGGGTCGGGGGTGGGGTGAGGAGGGGGGACAAGGAGGAAAGGAAGGGGTGGGGGAAGGGATGGAACTGGAAGTGGGTGAGGAAGCCAAGACACAGGCAGCAGAGAGGCCTGGCCTGTGAAGGTGGCTTTGACATCTCTGCCCTTGTGGGGTCCCTTCCATTCGCAGTGTACCAACCCCCCATCGTCTGGCTCCCGAGAAAGCAACTCTGGGGTAAGAGGAGGCGTGGCCTGTGGTTCCGCTCTGGGAAGGCTGGGGTGCACGGCTTCCTAGGTGGGCTGAGGTTATGCAGAGCCAAGGAAAGAAAGGGACAAGTAAAGTGTAGGGCCCTGTCCTTAGCTGTTGCTTTGTTCTGCTGTCCCGCAGGGAAGCAGCGGCGGCGGCGGTGGCAATGGTGGCCACGACGGCAGCAGTGGCAATAGTCACAGCAGCAGTGGCAATAGTCATGGCAGCAGTGGCAATAGTCAAGGCAGTAGTGGCCACGGCAGCAGCGGTCATGGCAATGGTAACCAAGGCAACGGCGGCCAAGGCAACAGCGGCAGCAGTAGTTCTGGGTCCCGGGTAAGTTTCTTCCTGGGGATGGGGTGATGATGGTCCTGGTGGTGAGGACCCAGGCTCTGGGGTTTCCCTTAAAGCTGGGTGGCTTCAGTGACAGTGGTCATCCTGAGACTCCTTCAGTCCTGGCTCCCCACCCTCCCAGGTCTAATTACGGGGTTCCTTAGTAGGGGGTGCTGGCTCCCTTCCTGTGCACGCTGCCATGGTGGGAGAGTTCTGGCTCGGGTCTAACCTTACTCCTTGCTGAGAGTTAGGGGATGGAAGAAGACAGGTCGGCAATGGATGACATTGCTCTGTCCAGCACCTGGAAGGCTGGGGCAGGGGGATTGCTGTAGAGTTTGAGGCCAGCCAGGGCTACATCTAAAACAAAGCAAACAAGACATCCCCACTTGTTTGGAATGCTTGGGGATAACGCGGGAGGGGGTGGGTGTCTCCATGGAGAATTAAGGGCGGCTGTGGTGTAGACAACACTGGTAACTCTGCAGAGGTGAGGCCCCCACGTGATGGGTGGGAGAGCCGGAAAGGTGTGCCTGAGAGATGAGCTCCAAGAGAGGGTGTCCAAACTCAGGGTCATACAGTGTCCTTAGGGGTCTAGGGAGGCAAGTATGAAGCTGCAGTGCTTGTCTAGCGTGTACAGAGACCTGGGTTCCATCCCCAGTTCCTCAGGAGCCAAGTGTGGTGACACACTCCTGTCATCCTAACCCCTGGGGGTGGCGGCAGCATCAGGAGTTTTAAGGTCATCCATGGCTACCTAATGAGTTCAAGGTTACCCTGGGCTACGTGAATAAATAAACAATAACATCACTGGAGGCTTTGTGTGCAGAGCCTGAGAGTGCCCTTTCTCTCCATTCAGGAACTGGAGACGTCTAATTTTGATGAAGGCTATTCAGTCTCCAGGGTAAGGACTCTAGGGTCCCTTCTTCCTTTTTTTTTTTTTTTTTTTTTTTTTTTTTTTAAAAAAAAGGGGGTTTTAGAAAGGGTGCATTAAGAAGGGACAGGCCCTAGCCTGACCCCTAATGGCAGCTTCTTTTAAAAAAAATTCATGAGGGGTGTGTGTGTGCACGCTTGCGTGCGTGCGTGTGCGTGTGCATGTGCGTGTATGTGTGTGTGTGTGTTGGAGAGCTAACAGCTCAGACTCCCAAAGTCACTGTGTGTTTCCAAACCCCAGGCCATACCTGGCCTTCTTTTACTGGAGTTCAATTGCCTCTAGCAACCAGTTGGCCAAAGGTGAGGAAAGAATGGAGGCCGGGAACTCCTGTGTCGCCTTGCACACACTTTTAAGACATCATGCTGATTCTTTCCTTGCAGGGAACTGGCTCGTCCTCGGGCAGCCGAGGTGGCAGTGGCAGTGGGAACAAACCCGAGGTGAGTGGCACAGATGCTGGGAGAGAGGTCAGGGCCGGGCTGGGCCGGCTGAACATGGGGGGCATTGCTGTCTCCCAGGGGGAGCTGGTTATTATGCTGTCATGGAGACTGAGATTGTAGATCAGTGGGAGATTGAGAAAAAAAAAATCTTTCCTTCACAGTGTGACAACCCTGGGGATGATGTGCGCATGGCTGGAGGCTCTAGGAATCAGGTGAGAGGCAAACTCCCGTGCACAGCGCCAGCCTTTCATCACTGTGACGGTGCTGTGGCCCCAGGAGCCCACTCAGCTCAGCCCCCATGCAATCCTTGGAGGGAACCCAAACATAGACCCCCAAAATACTAAGTCTCCAAAGTCACAGTTGGAGAACAGGACAGCATTCCTTCTGCAAGTGCGTGCGTGCGTGCGTGTGTGCGCGTGCGCTCACTCTTGCACATGGCCAGGGACTGAACCATAGGCCTTGTTCATGTAGGCAACCGTTCTACCACTGAGCCACAGCCCTTCACTGGGGGGTTCTGGGGTACTCTAACTGCTGAGCAACCATGCCCTCCCAGCCCCTCAGTGCTGAGTTCCAGACAAGTAGTGTTCTACCATGGAACTAGTCTTCATTCTTATTTCTTTGACTCTTTCTTTCTCTCTTCTTTTCTTTTTTAAGACAAGAGCTCACTAACAGGGTCAGTTCAGATTGGCCTCAAACCCACAGCAATCCTTTTGCCTTAGCCTTATAAATTCTGGGATTACAGGCATGACTCATCAAGGTCAGCTTCTTTTTAGTTTTGTTTTTTTTTGTTTTTGTTTTTTTTTTTTTCAAGACAGGGTTTCTCTGTGGCTTTGGAGGCTGTCCTGGAACTAGCTCTTGTAGACCAGGCAGGCTGGTCTCCAACTCACAGAGATCCACCTGCCTCTGCCTCCCGAGTACTGGGATTAAAGGCGTGCGCCACCAACGCCCAGCCAAGATTTTATTTATCTATTATGTATACAGTCTTCTGCCTGCATGCTAGCAGAGGGCACCAGATCTCATTCAAGGTGGTTGTGAGCCACCATGTGGTTGCTGGGAATTGAACTCAGGGCCTCTGGAAGAACAGTCAGTGCTCTTAACCTCTGAGCCGTCTCTCCAGCCCCTCTTTGTAGTTTTTATCTTGAGACAGGGCTGGCTTTGAACCCCCTAAACAGTAGCCCAAACAGGTCTTAACCGTGGATGGCAAACTCTTACACATTGTGCTTTGCTTTATATCCCGAATTGGTGTGAGGAATCCATGTGTAAACCAGTCTCATTCTGTTTATTTATTTTTTTAGAAAGGCTTTCGCTAAAACCCAGGCTAACTTCAGACTTGTGATGCTCCTGCCTCAGTCTCTGGAGTGCATCGCCATGGCCACCTTCAGTATTTTATCAGCCCATTTTAGAGACAGTCGTGTCAAATGTCCCATCATCCCTGGCCAGGGAACTCTAGTAGGGAAGAAGCACACATAGGCACCTTCCTTAGTTGTTCTGGAAATCTGGGCAAAAGGGTCAGCACCCGCAGTGATGCTGGCTGACATCACTGTGACACTCATGTCCACACCTAGAGGTCTTGTGCAAAATGCAGGTTGAGCCAGCAGATCTGGGGTGGGGCTGGGACTCCGTGATTCTCATCCTTTCCCTGGAGATGCTGAAGCAGCTGAAGCTGCTGGGCTGGGTGGGCCCTGGTGGATTCCGAGTGCAGCAGAGGTCACTGGGTAAGGGGCAAGATGGGATGGGGAGAAGACGGAGAGGAGGGGAGATTGAGCAAGAACTTGTATATTAGGTGGTAACTTGTATGGGTTCCGGGTTTTAAGAGCAACGCTTCCAACTTGTTAACTCTTGTTCCTCTGTCTATCTATCTATTTTCATCTATCTATCTATCTATCTATCTATCTATCTATCTATCTATCTATCTATCTTTCAATCAGCTTTAAGAACATAGGGAGTCAGCTTTAGTCTCCCCACTCGGGAGGCAGAGGCAGGCAAATCTCTGTGAGTCCCAGGACAGCCAGGACTACACAGAGAAACCCTGTCTCAGAAAAAACAAACAAACAGAGTCAGCAACGTCATGGTTGTTTCTATGGTTGTTGCTGTTGGTGTATTATTTTAAATGTCTCCATTATTTTCTAGTGTTTACGAGTGCTTACATAATTTTATTTTTTTCTTCTTTTCTTCCTTTTATGGTACTTTAGCAGAGAACAGGGAGGTCCCAGAGCTCCCAGGGGACATCAGGGCAGGGGGACAGCAGCCTTTGAGAGTAGAAACTTTGCTGGCAAAGAAAACAGTAGCCACTGGTCTTTAGCAGCAATGCTAACAGGGCAGGAATCCCACATCCTGGTCAGGTCCGAAGCTAGCTCTGGGAATGAGGAATGGACAATGGAGCTGCTGATCTCTAGCTTAGGAAGTGGCTAAGCAGCTTAGCTGCGTACCACCTGCCGCAGGGATCCTCGGGCTTGCCAGCCGCCACTCCCTTTCTGCCAGGTACAGACACCAGCCTATCTGGAGTTTCTAGTCTGTCGCTTTAGTCCAGCAGCCTGGCCAGGGGAAGACTCAGATGACTTGGTGGCATTGGCGTTTCTCCCGGGTTCTGGAGAAATGAGTATTAGCAGACGGTGATGTATTAGGAAGCAGACGTGAGCAGTCACCGGGCCACACAGGAGAGAAGGCGCTGTCCACACTCCCCTCTCCACCCCTGCACCCCTCTGCACTGCCCTCTCCTCTTAAATTGACTTCTGCACTTTATGTCTCCCTAGGAAAGTAGAGAAAGCAGCCGGCTCCTTGGGGGTTCCCATGACTACCAGGTAAGTCAGGGGACAGCCGGGGTGGCTTAGCAGAAGGGACAGTGGAGGGTGGGACTAGCAGCTCTAAAAAGGATGAGTGACTATCGGGAAAACAAAATGGCGGCTGGGCTCTCCCTCCCCTCCCCTACCATTGCTCCTCTCCTCCTTCCATTTGGCATCAGAGCCATAACTGATGACAAGTGGGAAATCAGACAACAGTAACAGAAAAAGGACAGAGATCAGGCCTGGAGGGAAGACTCACAATCCTAATGACTGGGGAGGGTGAGGCAGAGGCTTGCAAATTCAAAGACTGCCTGGTCTGTAGAGTGTGTTCAAGGACAGTCTGGGCAACTTAGAGAGATCCTATCTTAAAAAGTAAAAGAGAATTGGGCGTGACTCAGTGGTAGAACCCCTGCCTAGAATCCCCCAGTGAGGGGCTGGGATTGTGGCTCAGTGGTAGAGCCCCTGCCTAGAATCCCCCAGTGAGGAGCTGGGGGTGTGGCTCAGTGGTAGAGCCCCTGCCTAGAATCCCCCAGTGAGGGGCTGGGGGCGTGGCTCAGTGGTAGAGCCCCTGCCTAGAATCCCTGGCTCAGTGGTAGAGCTGGGGGCATGGTTCAGTGGTAGAGCCCCTGCCTAGAATCCCCCAGTGAGGGGCTGGGGGCATGGTTCAGTGGTAGAGCCCCTGCCTAGAATCCCCCAGTGAGGGGCTGGGGGCATGGTTCAGTGGTAGAGCCCCTGCCTAGAATCCCCCAGTGAGGGGCTGGGAATGGGGCTCAGTGGTAGAGCCCCTGCTCAACATATGTGAGATTCTAGGTTCCATTTCCAGTGATTCCTACCCCCGCAATAGAGATCAGGGGAGTATGCTTGCATACGTGTGTATGCTCATATAGACACCCATATACACACAAACACATGTGTACATTTCAACCTGTTTAATAACTAAGTATTGAGAAGCGGAGAGTTGCTGAACTTTGGGTATGAAGCCTGTTAAAAGTCAGGTCTGCCGCTCCTCATCTATGCTTCTTCAGGCAAGTCAACTGACCTCTTCTGAGCCTGGCTCCCTTGCCTAAGAAGGGACAGTGAACCCTGACCAACTCATCTTCCTTAGCTAGTGTAGACTTTTCTGTATCCTGGTCAAACCAAGGTGATGCAGGGTCCAGGCAGGCAAAGCCTGATTCTGCCTGTGGGACACTTGTGGAGAAATGAAGTCGTCTCAGAGGTGTCCTGTGCGGGTGTGCTTGGCGCACAGTGGGAACACACGCCATGTCTCGTCATTTTCACTGGCCTTTGTAGGGGCCAGGCAGAAGAAAGTGGAGGCAGAAGTCTGTCAGTCAGCCACTGTGGTGGATCGCTGTAACCACTGTTAAACCCGGGAGGCTGATGCAGGGGCATCACTGCAAGTTTGAGGCCAGCCTGGGCTACATAGTGAGCGCGTGTCTCAAGAGATCGGGTCAGCTGTGTGGCTAAAGCCATTCGTCTTTTTGAGCCGGGAGTTCAGGGGTGGGAGAAAGAAGAGAAAAGGCTATGGTGAGGAGAAGAGACTTGGGGCCAGTGGAGGAGATGGGTGGGCCTGGGCTAGACTGGCAGGCACTTGTGTGACCGTGAACATGAGCCTGGAACATGGCTTCCTTTCCCTTTCTCAGGAGCATGGGTCCAGTGGGGATGGTGGACGCAATGAAGCTGTCAGTGGACTCAAAGCTATGGTGAGTGAAGTTCTTACTCCACCCTGGGGCTGGGGTGTCAGGCACACCCGGTCTTCTTCCTCCCCGATGCCCACACCCCTTGCCTCTGCCTCTTGCTCACAAAGTGGGCTGTTAACCTCCTGCCGTTTCTCACCCATTCTTTAGAACTCTGACCCATCTTCCTTGCCCTTCAACTTTGACAGTTTCTGGGAGGTAAGTTTTGAAAGCTTGCTCGGGTCCCCTGAGGAGAAGCAACCCTACTTCCTCAGTCCTCCGCACCCCAAGAGAAAACCGTGGCCTTGATCTTTTATTTTAAAATTTTGTAACTTTATTTTTATTTTATGCATATGAGCGATTTGCCTGCATGTATGTCTATGTACCACACGGTGCCAGCAGAGGCCAGAAGAAGGCATCAGCTCTCCTGGAACTGGAGTTACAGATGGTTGTGAACCTCCGTGTGGGTGCTGGGACTAGAACTCACTCAGATCCTCTGGAAGGGCAGCCGGTGCTCTTAACCACCGCTCTGAAGCAGGCAGGCAGGCAAAGCCTGATACTGCCTGTTGGCCACTTCTGGAGAAATGAAATCGCCTCAAAGGTGTATCTGGAGACTCAAAGGTCTCCAGCTTGGCCCTTGACCTTTTTCTAGCCTGAAACACAAACAAAACAAAACAAAACAAAACCCCCAAAGTCAAGCCTTGTTTCTTGATCTGATTTGGACATTTCTTTTTGTTTTCAATGCAGAATTTTAAATCCAAGTTGGGTTTCATTAACTGGGATGCCATAAACAAGGTAAGGGCCACAGGCCGTGCCACTGATGATTTGAGAGCAGAGGACCAGACAGAGGCGAGCTAGACATCTTCATGGTGATGCAGAGGGATGGTAGTGATGACTACTAAGAAGGTGGTTAGGCAAATGCTCAAGCCAAAAGAATCCAAAACCTGGAAAGACAGGGTGAACTGGGGAATTGTTGGGTGCTGGCAAGGAGCAGAAGGGATGGGTGTCTTTAATATCTCAAGGTAAAGAAGCAGGTGACTCCTCAGCCTCAGTCTCCCCTTTAGACCTGTGAGGTGCAGGTCTGTCATCTTGGCAATTTGGGAAGAAAGGACAGTAGGGTTAGCAAATTCAAGGCTACCCTGGACTACAGAGTGAGTTCATAGCCTGCTTGGGCAATTTAAGGAGATGATACCTCAAAATTAAAATCCACCAGTGAAGGTCTGAGTTGAAATGAAGCCTCTGCCTAGAATCCCCCAGTGAGGAGCTGGGGGCATGGCTCAGTGGTAGAGCCCCTGCCTAGAATCCCCCAGTGAG